GCTTCTTCCACGGTGAAAGCCGATCCGGCGATCCACAGCACTAAGTTGATGTATTCCCTCAGCGACCAGCACAGATCAGCTCCAGGCATGACGAAGCAGATATCGTCCTCTTTTGGAAGACCAAACAAAGGAGTTTCGCTTTCACAACGAAGCACACAGCGTCTTCACGACATGGCGCAGCAGCAACAATACTACAGTGAGAATAAAAGTTACGCCTTCTTTCTTTGTGTGAACATTTGGGCGGCGTTATGCAAATCTTCCCACATCGTGACGTAGATATGTGGGGGCGTGTTAGAACGAGCCGTTTTAGGTAGGCGTGGTTAACTCTTAACTTTTATAAAGAATATCTCTTTGGATTTGAGACTTTAGTCTTTGCAACTTTACAGATCTTCTTTATGCACCAAGAGCTTGTAACACTCCAAAGAGAAAGGAAAAATTTAAATCGCATCATATGACCCCTTTAAGATCACCAGCAGGAAGCTATAGGTAATTTAGATATGGAACAAATATCTTGTTATATTGTGTGTTTTATGAATACCCACTTATTCTATTAACCTTACATTGCCGCTGTGTTTAAACAGGTCTGTAATTTTCAATTTATTCAATATATCAGGTGTACATATGTCATTGAGCGTGTAAACAAAGGATGCTAGTTCAATAGTTGCTACTTATAACAGGAGAGAAATCCTTCCACTCCATTCCTTCCATAGCTTTTGCAGTAGGCAGTCACATGCTAAAGCAAACTAACAATCAAGAGAATAGTTTCTATTTTTTTCCTTCTTTTTCTCAATTCTCAATCAGATCTGACTTTTTTCTCTCTCTTTATCCTTTTCCTTGAGTACTTCATTAATCATCAGTATCTAAACAAAGTGAGAAAAAGTAATGTTTGCAAAGAGCTAGCTTTCATGTTGAAGTTTACAGTCTCCGCTTCCCCTCTACAACATTCATTCCAGTCTGTATCTCTTGCAACACATTTTGTACGGCTTCAGATGACTTGGTAAATGGCACATTTTTGTCGTATAGGCTACTTTCATGATAAATCGTACTTTTGTTATTTCTGGGACCTGGGCGTAGAAAGTACACATGGTTACAATAATCGGGCGGTGCACATACTGTATGTGTGCCCTATTCTCCTGAAGAAATTTGCATCATGTGCCCTGTACGCGGACATTCACTTTGGGCTTTATTCTAGTAATAAATAGGTTTCCATGCTTTG